TGCTATTCAGGGGAAGAATATGAATTACACAGTAATTACAGGAGTTTTAAAATTTTGCTTGGATAAACTGAAATTGCTACTGAAACATTGTATGAGCCACAGTCTTCAACATTAAAATCAAAGCCCATGATTTTGGCCCTTCTGAGAAATGGCGTTCCTAGAAACAGTGCCTGTCAATGTTAGTTTTATTCTCTCATAAAATGAGAACTATGTATCATGTGAAGCACAAGTGTCAAGTAAAATCTGTATTCAGTTTGCAAAGAAGTGAAATTGTGTACCCTCTACAATTTCAGGCCAATTGTTAGAGCTTGGCATGCTGTACAGTTGATTCTATGCAAACAAATCGCAGTTTATACATGCATGGCCCTTGAAACACATTTTATTCTGCAGTTTTAGAGAAAATGAGTCTGACTGTACATAAGGTGGGAAAATCAACTATATGTAATCATTCCCTTCTGCAGCAGAATTAAAGACACAATCTAATGGACTACACAGGATTAGGAGTAAACCACTGCCAAAGGTATCAACAGTTTTCATTTTTACCACTTATCACATAGAAATATCTGCTTACTGCTTCTATATCCCTCTATATGCTTTCAGAGAGAAACCACTGAATGGTTCACATTTCATTTTTAACAGTTAATTGCTACATAAATATGTAGCATAAAGCACAGACATAGAATTGTTCTGAAATATTCACTTGCCTCTTTATTTACATTTCTTATACAGCAGATACATCTGAAAGACTTACCCTGAAATGACTCTAAAGTAAAGCAAAGTTAAATTTCCCCAGAGACAGTCTGAAGCAGAAGTTTAAACTTCTCATCACTTTGAAGGCAATAGAACTGACGTTTATTGCTGTGCCATGCCAAACTACAGCCCCACCTCTGGATAACTAAAGACTATATGGCAGATGGATGCTTTAAGAACCTTCCCCAGAGCCTGCCAGTGCATATTGTGTTGTCTGTTTAGATGATAAACTACCTGGAAAGGCCTGGACCTGTACATTTTTCTGTGTTTTGTGCAGCTTTACTCTTCATGGGGTTTAAAATGATCATCACGATTAATCCATAGATAAACTACCCTAAGGAAGCCAATGTTGCTTGCCCTGCAAGAGCATGGCCTTAAATGTGGCATAAATACCATTTCCTCCCCGTTATTTACAGTGCCTATTATGGCTCCCCAGGGAGCCATGCATCCAAGGCCTAATTCATGGGTCTCACAGGGGAGATGAGCACCAACTTTACTGGACTGTGAATTAGGCCACTGATAGGTTACACTCCCAAAGCCTACAGGCTGAGATTATATATGTGTATATATATACCTCTGTGCCTCCCACAACATCTACCCATGCTATCAGGCCTTACTGAATGTCAGTAAACCCTTGCCAACTTCCTGACCTACCTGCAGAATCAGTCAGAATACTGCATTAGTGTTGAATGTCCATCAACCCACTGTTTCCATTTCAGTTATCACCCTCCTTTGTGAACTTGTAGGAAAACTGTCCCCTTCGGAGTATGTCATAAAAACTTCAATTCTTGCAATGTTAAAAAACGAGGCAATGTATCATGAGTTATCAAATGACTTCACATTACTGTGATTTTTCCCTATCTACTGCTTTCACCATAATTGAAGTAATAGTGACTTTTCCAATTAAAAAAAAAAAATAATAATAAAAAACCAGAAATGCCAAAAAATTATATATACATATATATATATATATGTAAACACCAGGAAAAAAAAAAATCTAAGTCATTGCTTGCAGAAAGATTAAATTTATTTTCAGTATTTCAATCTTCTTCTACTTAATTTGGTGGTATGAAAGGACATTTACTGTCACAGAGCCATAGTGCATACCAGGCCACAAGCAACTGCAGGCATTGCACCAACAAATTGTATGGTCATTGTTATAACACTCTATTCACTAATTTATAACTAAACCATAGGACTTAAATATAAATTCACGGATGACTTTTGAAAGGTGAATGGCACAGATAAGTTTCACCCTTTGCTAAATATATACAGTTCCTGTTCTTTGGTATTTATAATTATGTAACATGACTTTCAAATACCTTCAACTGTGAAGCGGCAAATTAGCTCCATCATCTAACTGGCTGAAGTAAACACCCCATCTGTAAAGCCTTCCTTGGACAAGGGGCTTCCTTCCCATTTGTGGTTAACAGGACATGAAAGCACAGACTAAAACAAAGGGGGAAGAGAACAGGAAAGAGACTTGCCAAAGGAGATATATATAATATGTATCTATATGTTGTAATATTATATATATCCTTTCTATATTATTATTATTATTATATGTATATTATATGTATCTCCTGTACTGCTTGTTGGAACAGTAAATTCCTGGCAGGGCTCAAGCTGGTATCTTTTGCTGTGTTTTTCTATAGCATTAAATCTGTCTTCCAATGTTTAAAAATCATAATTGTGACAAAATCTCTAAACAAATGAAAGTCAGTATAACTTGCCCTGCTGGTGTAGAAAACACTACCCTTCCACATATCACAACATACAGTTTGAATTCTGAATTAATGACAAGTGAAAATAAAGTCTAATTCTCATCTATACTGGGTTTGTGTGGAAAGGTTTCAGGGGGAGCTACAGAGCTGGTTTCTGTGAGAAGCTGCCAGAAGCTCCGTTCATGTCCAGCTGAACTAATGTCTGCTGGCTCCAAGACAGACCACTGGGCAAGGCAGAGCCCATCAGTGATGGTGGTAACACCTCTGGGATAACATATTTAAGAAGGGGAGAAACCCAAACCTGCATAACTGCAGCTGGAGAGAGCAATGAGAATGTGTGAATACAAAAGCTCTGCAGACACCCAGATCAGTGCAGAATGAGGGCAGGAGATGCTCCAGGGACCAGAGCAGAGATTCCCCTGCAGCCCGTGGTGCAGCCCATGGCGAGGCAGCTGCGCCTCTGTAGCCCATAGAGGTCCATGGTGGAGCAGATTTCACCTGAAGCCCAGGGAGGGCCCCAGGCCAAAGCGGGGGGTTGCCCAAAGGAGGCTGTGACCCTGTGGGAAGCCCACACTGTAGCAGGCTCCTGGCAGGACCTGTGGCCCCATGGAGAGAGGAGCCCACACTGGGGCAGGTTTGCTACAGGACTGGTGGCCTCACAGGGGACCCAGGCTGGAGCAGTCTGTGCCTGAAGGGCTGCACCCATGGAAGGGATCCATGCTGGAGCAGTGTGGGAAGAACTGCAGCCTGTGGGAAGGACTCACATTGGAGAAGTTCATGGAGAACTGTCTCCTATTGGAGGAACCCCACACTGGAGCAGGGGAAGAGTGTGAGGAGTCTTCCCCTGAGGGGGAAGGATCAGCAAAGACAACGCGATGAACTGACTGCAATCCCACTTCCCCACCCTGTGCCACCTGGGGGAAGGAGGTAGAGAAAATTGGAAGTGACGTGAAGCCTGGGAAGAAGGAAGGGGTTTGAAAAGGTGTTTTAAGATTTCTTTTTATTTTCTCATTACCCTACTCTGATTTGATTGGTAATAAATCAAATTAATGTTTGCCCAAGTCAAATCTGTTCTGCTTGTGACAGTAACTGGGTGAGTGATCTCTCCCTGTCCTTATCTCAACCCACCAGCCATTCATTATATTTTCTCTACCCTGTCCAACTGAGTAGGGGAGTGATAGAACGACTTTGGTGGGCACCTGGTGTCCAGTCAGTCAACTTGTCATATCACCCCTGATATTCCACCTTACAAAATATTTACATACCTAGTAGTCTTTACTCATGAATTACAGCAGCAGTATTACAATCAATACTGCCTACCCAGCAAATCTATTTAAGAAAGTCTCTAAAGTAATTAAAGGGATTAACATCTCTGTTTTAATCTATCAAAAAACTAATAATCTCTGTTTTTCTGAGTAACCACTCTCATGTGACTCTGTGAGTCACAAAATCTTCAAACAGTTCACATTCAATTGTTTTATCTCTTTTCACAAAGGAATTCATTTCAGGCCAGAATGTAAACGGATGCTTAGTACCCTGCTAGCATGTTCCAATAGAGCCAGAAAAACAACTATTTACTCTGTGACATGTTTGAGTTCCGTAACATTTATGTTCTGAAAAAGGATAATGAATTCTAAACATTTCCCAATAAATGTAACTATATTCTTAGGCCTTCCTCAACAGGAATATTCTATGATCTCCACATATGTCAATCAAATTTTGTATTAAATTTTACCTTTAGATGATTTAAATCTACTGGACAGACACAGAGTACTCAATGGTGACAGTGTGCCCTCTTTCCTGCTGAGCATGAATAGGTGAACACAGAAACTTCTAAGGCTATCTTGTAATTCTCTAGCATTACTCCTATATTCTTGGCCTTAAAATATGATGCTAAAACTGCTTTAAACAGTAAGATGAGGATAGCATCAGGCAGGAAAAAGGTCAGGGGCAGAGATGCCTAAGTGCCTGCTGATTTCAGCCAATATAATGGTCCCCACAGGACCAGTTCAGCTGGCTTCAAAAATGGAACAGCTGGAATCCCCTGCCTTGTTCAGAGGTCCAGTTCAGCTCTTGACTGCTTCCGTAGTCAAGTGAGGTACGTGTCTGACACATGGATACATCTGCATACTTAATCTATAAACACGGAGAGGTCCACTCCAAAGAATTACTTAAAAAGAAGTATCAGACCTTCCAACCACATTCCAAATTACATCATGGACAAAATCAAAAGAATAGGAGAGGAAACAGATGTGTGATGTAAGATGTACGACAGTCACAGAGGAAACTGTCAGGATGAAAATGGGCACATTAGAAGCTCATCTTGTTCTATTAATCTAATGATCTTTTTTCAGTTCTTCTAACTAGCCTCATCTTTACTGCATTTCAAATGGAAGGGTCACCACATGCTACTGATACCAAGCAAAGCTCAGAGGTGTCTAAAAAGCCGTCTTCATAAAAGTACATGCATGAAGCACTTAAACAACCCCAACCTCTTGAAAGATATTAATTGAGGAATGTAAGTACCTGCTGTCTCCAAGGGCAGGATCCTTGGGTTTAGCATCAATATCATAAACAAAACGCTCTTGAGAGATCACTATGACATTGTCTGTAGTTTCATTTCCCAAGATAGTGATGACAGGATAACCCATCTGTAGTGTCCACTGATCCATTACTTGTTGGATATTTACAGATTTTCCAACTCTTTTCAAAGCCTACAAGAAAAAAGAAAAGTTTCAATATGTTGAAGCAGTAACATCATCCAACATATAAAATTCTTTCTTTTTTTTTTTTGTCCCAGAGACCATAATTAGTTTTTTAAATGAACATCACATACACACACATTTACACCCAGTACGCATACACTCTACATGATTTAACCAAGTCTCTGTCCATCTTAAGAGTAAGCGTTGAGCAATCTTGCCAGACAGGAGGAGAACAGTCAGGAAGTCATGTTTCCCACATCATTCAGGCTGTAACAGAAGAAACAACCTGCCTTGCACAGTTTTAACAAGAGCCACAGAAATACTGGGTGGCTGTCTCCAAAGGATATTCTAGACCAACCAGAGTTAAAAAAGACTCAGTGTTAGTTGATGCAGGGTGCCTACAATGATGCATATTCAAAGGGCCTGATTTTTTAAAGAACAGAGCTTCTGTTCTGAGAATCAAATGACTAGTTACTTGAAAATATTGTCCCTCATGCCCAAAGTGAGGCTATGAATACCAAGGTAACCCCAGCTGTTTCATAAACTGCACCTGTCACAACACATTGAGGATTAATATGTTCATATTTGATACCATATGTCAATAAAAATGCTGGTTTATAAGTAGATTTTCATCTGAAACAAAAAGAGAAACTATGGCATCATGGGAGATGAGACTGGGTATGAGGAGATTGACAGCTATCATTTATTCTTCAGTGACGGAAATATCCCTAACTGCCAAACAGTCCTAGATTACAGACTGAGCAACCTCTCATGAACACATGAACCCAGCAAGAAGTCTTTGGAACTGAAGCTGCAATTGCAGTGCATTAGGAACAAAGCAGCTGGCAACAAACGTGCTTACAGATGAGGCAAACAGAATTACTGGCCTTAACAATGGACTTAAGCATACAGTATAGCTGTAGTGGTTATACATAATACAGTCTCAGCTGTGGTTTCTGCTGTTTTTTCAATATTATGCTCATCCCTCTGACGTTCCATCACCCAGAGCTATCCTAAAGGCTTTAACAGAAGAAGACACCAGGTGAGAAGCAAGAAATATTTTTGCAGTGGCACTGAACTTCAAATTAAGACATAGATTTAAGAGCATGACTGTTTGTTTTATGTCTCAACTCTCATTAGGCGTCAATACAGACTCAGTTCAGTTGCCCACACATAGGTGGTTAATGTCATTTGACCTGCTGCTCCAAAAGAGTATACAAATTTCTCCACAGATCTTGTGACAAATCAATTAGATCCACCCAAATGTAAGAAAGAATTTTAGGCATGCTTGGCTCACTTTATGAAAATTAAACTCTGCCCTAATAGATCTGTAGACCTTTGGGCATAGCAACCAAAGGGAGCACGGACATAACAACTGTAAGTCTCTACAGCATGCCAAATGTTACAATAAGTAGTTATCTGTTTACACCAGACTTCAAAGCTTTAACAGTTTTGTCATTCACACAAATCATTACTCCACACAAAATCACAAACATGCCTGATATAAATGCCAGTGCTCAGCACTTTAATGTGTTTTCCAGCTTATGAGCCTCAGCATGCTGCTACTGAAGTCAATGATAGCAGATTCCATGAAGTATCTTTTACTGAACACCAGTGCCATAGCACAAGCAAGGAAATATATTTTAACATAACAAAGAATAGAAATGCTGCAAAAAACATATTTTATTGTTGCCACTAGGTTAACTCAAATGGTATTTCTTTGCATCAATTTTTATATTTGCTTTGGGGTCTGAAGATTTCAATATGCGCTATTCACTCCTAACCTCACCAACAAAAATATCACGGTAAATTCTTGCTTCTCCCTCAGTGCAATAGATTAAAGCTTTTTACCTTTGACAGTGTGTTCCAGAGATCATTTCTGGCTGCATTGCCATACTTGTGAATGGTTAAATAGTCCTATGGAAATAAAATAAAAATACGAATCAGTATTACTATACACAAGGCAAACAACTAGAGCTGTGAATCACTGTTATTAGAAGTTAAAGCACATCAATGTTTGCATTTGTCAAAAATCTAGAAATATACATTATGTTCATCCTAAGAGAGTAAATAAACAGTTTCTTAACCTAGTTTACAATGCAAAGACTGTTACTAAAAATTTCATTTATGGCATTCAATGCTCTTTCTTTTCTGCATAAGCCACTCTATAAGCTAAATATTTTGAATATACATTTAAATTACTTGTCTAACCTCAGAAGGGTTTCCTAGGTAATTCTCAGCAATAAAAGGGGAAGCTGCCAAATCACAGTTGCAGTTCCTATTTTAGCAGGTCATTCTGCATCTAGTGTCGAAAATTTGCTCACTCGGGTGACAAATATATTTGCTACAAAATATTTAACTAAGCAGTAGCCTAACTGAACTACAAACTTTTATGCAGGCAGATCCAGATGCTTCCATGTCAAAATACATCTTTCTGACAACGGGGGTTGTAACAGGTTATCACAAAGGGTCTCCACAACAGGGAGTGGTGGAAGAGGGGTGACAGGTACCCAACTCTGTGCTTGTGCATATGTGTGTTTTCATGACATATGTGACTCAGAGACTGAAGAGGTTATAAACTGAATACTTATTCAGCTGCAGTTACTATGACTGAGGGTCCATTCTTCTCCCTTAGCAGCCAGAAAGTTGATCCCTGGTAAGCTATCATCATATTAAATTAACTTCCAAAATTAATAGTTTAATCATATGACCAGGTTGGGTCTGGGCCTATCAGGCACAAAAGGCTTCCAGTTTTTGTAGAGACAACACTGTTAGTTTCCCACCATTCTGTGTCCCTAGAGAGCAGCTCATTCAATTACAGAAATGAAATTCAGCAATGATTATTTGAATAACATACATTTCAAGCATTTTGATTGGAAGAATTAAGTGAAAAAACACATCAGAGGTTGTAAATCAATGGGATCTCCTGCATTTGAATTTCTACCATCTCCACTTTATACAATGGCTGGAGACAAACCCTAATTTACAGCACAGTGATAAAACTGGGACAAATCTGCTGACTCTGTTATCTCTGCTTTGTGTGAAGTAAGATACTTTGGGAATAATTAGTATTTGGAAAGCAAATTTTCTGATACACAAATTGTAGCACCTGTGACAGATTTAGCTTTTGTCAGCCAACTCATAGTACAAGAAGCAGCAACTCCCATTTAATCACAGGCTAGGAAGGCTAAATGAGAACACTGACTCTGTAAATGCAGTGCAGAGTCTTAACAATGTCATGAGACTAACTTGGAAAAAAAGACAATATTATACAGGCTGCACCTACAGCACACTGTGCTTCCATTTTATCTAAAAATACGGAATCATTTAAGGCACAGTGAAATATTCAATAGCTTTCAAAGCTGAAGAAGTTGAATTGCAAATTAAAAAGCTAAAATAGGAATAAACAAAAGTGGGACAAGGTAAATAAATAACAACAAATACACTTGTACATTCTAAGTAGCACTAGAAAATGCTACACGAATTGGTCCTTCTGAGAGCTACTTTCAGAATTGTAACACAGCAAAATAAAATGAGTGGAACACTTGAGCATTTGCTCCATCCAGGCAATAATCCTGTTTACCAATCTACCATTAGACATCAAATTTTACTGATTTTATTTTTACATTTTGTGTTCAGAAGGACTGCAAAGAGATGAAATGCTTCTGTCCTTTTGTTTTTTTTTTTTCTCAAGACACAGACTGGGAAATTTAGATGTGGTTCACTGCTCAGTTAAACAATTTATTACCCTCCAATCTACATATGTATTACACAAAGGAAAACAAAAAGAATCATTTTATCATTTACCATTATCATTTACCACAAAATAAGAAAACACAATAACATGCTCAACAGATGAGCACAGTCCTGGTACCATACAACTTGATTGTCCACTTTTTCATCATTCATGAAAGTTGCATATACACAGCATCAAACTAGGAGTGTTATTAAACACATACTACACAAAAAGCAGTCCTAAGTGAGAGTTTGCATCAAAATATGTTTCTAATAGTAAATCTAAAGGGCAATCCAAAATCTGAGTGCACTTTCTACAAGAGCTAAAGGTTACTGAACCAGGTCCCATTAAACTTCCTCATATATCAGTATCCTGTTTTCAATAACCAGTAGCAGATACCTAGAAAGAGTATAAAATAGGACAAGCCTACAGCGAAACTTCCCCAGCATGCTCTCCCATTATCCAGCACTTCATGGCATGAGGAATCCTGACGAGATTAGTATCTTTGTATTTAATAGTTACCTTCCATGCGTTTGGCCAGTTGCTTTCTGAACCTATATAATAAATGCTTAGCATTTGCACACCTTTCAAAAAAAGCATTTCCCACTTCAGTGATCTGTGGGTGAAGATACCTGCTTCAAACTCTGCTCATCTGCTGATTTCATCTGCTGTTCCCTAATTCTGGCATTAAAAGACACAGTGCATTACTGTTCCCTACTTCAGTCTCCCCAGTCCATTCATGCTTCTACAGATCTGTATCGTCTATGTCTTCATATGAGAGCTTGTGTTTATACTGAGAACATCACCAGACCCAATGACCCTATCACTCCCAGATATGCTGCAAAGTTACATTTTCTTACCAACATCCAAGCTTCAAAGCTAGCTAGGGTTACCATGACCCAGCCTTAACTTTCTTTACCAAATTATCAGCCCCTCTTGACGTACCTTTCATGGACAGGCATTCAGCTTAAAAAGGAAAAGGCTTGTACATACCAGCATCAAATACGTCACATGAAGTATTCAAACAGAAGCCAAACATCTACAACGTACCCTGCTTGTCTGTTCTAAGGATGGAACAAGCAGGAACAAAATCCATTTCTCCTCCTGGGGACCCATAACTAAGTCTTAAATAGCTTGCAAAGGGGCAGAAGACATGTTCTTATTCACTGTAATTCTCCAGGGAAGGAGAATTAGGCACCCCTTTGCCTTTACATCGGATAGAAAAGAACCAAAGCAAACAGAAGAGATGCAAGACACAGAACGAAAAAAGGAGGATGGCACTGAAAACACAGTGTCCTGAATCTAAGCTGCACTGAGCACAGCTCCAAAGGAGGTAAAGTGACTTAAAGCCACTTTCTCATAAACACAGATACCCAGAATCATTTGGCTTCAGGGCTGCTTCCCATCATAAACTCGAAATTCTATCACCTACAAAAGCTTTTCCAACAGCTGGAGCATGCTGGAGCATGAAGATATGCTTCAGACATTTTTCTTTCAGCTATAACCCTACAGTATGTGTGAGGAGAAAATATGGCAGGAAAACCTCTTTAACAACCCAAGACTCAGGACAGCTTTTCTGTCTACAACTCTTCCTTTGTTCTTCACTGTAATGCCACCTTTAAATTTTTTCTTTGTCATGGAGAAAGTAGAAAGAGAGTTCACAGACCCTGGTACAGTGTCACTCATAATCAGACACACACACAAAAGTGATCATTTCAGTTTACATTTTCAGCAATTCTCTTGTAATAATATTCTTAACATCTTGGCATTAAAAAATGAAGCCACTCTTTGGCAAAAGGAATAACAGAGTATGATCTCTTCCACTCTATAAATAACAATAATAAAAAAATCAATGTGTTTTTCTGACATGTGTTTTAGTAATTTTTAACATAAAATAGATTTTTTTTTTTAAAGCCAGAATCTGTCATTGCCATGAAAGCAAAGTCCAATTACTGCACAACAAAAAACTAAGATCTTGAAAAAAACCCAACAGATTTAGACTATAATATAAAGTTTTGTCAAATAGCAATCTTAACCACCCCTAAAAAATTAAAAGGCTTAATGCTTTTCATATTATTACTTGAATACTGAAGCAGATAGCTTGAACTATCTATAGTAGAAATAGCAGAAATACAGTGGAAGTGCTAAAGGCTTTTGAAAGATGTTTTTAGTAATGCTTTATTGATTAAGCTTGCAGGCCTTTTTATTGTACTAGATTTTTTTAAGAGATTATTTAGAAGGAAAAAGTCTTTTATCCCTTTGCAGTCTTAGTTCTCTCAGTACTGCTAGAGACCGAGCCTCTTGGTTTCAAAAAAATGAACTATCCCCACCATCCAAACATGATAACGCTCACAACTAATAAAAGGTAGTGACTGATAAATGCACAGAGGTTAAACAAGGGGAAATAAGTCTCCAAACATGTATTTTATTTTCAGGAGAGACTTCAGATCTATAACCAGGAACCGAAACATCAATTCTAAGACCAAACTCCTTCCTCAGTTCATCTGTATGAAGTTGATTACTTGGCAGAAGGAACAGCTCACGACTTATACGAGTGGTGCTGAGATCTGAACCAGTTAATCTGAGTAACTTTTTCTCCTAAAGATAACTGAGAAATCCCACTACATAAGATGAGTGAGGAAAAAGTAGTAAAATATGGCATCAAATTCCTGTGAATACATTGCTCTGAACGCCCTCATTTCTGAGCGATAAGGAAACAGCAGCCTTGCCCTACCTCTCTCATTTGTATTTCACTTCTATTCCTGGTGCACATCCTTGTCCCTTCAGCCTACACTATGTTCTTGTCGAACAGTTTTATACAAGACTGTTGCAACTCATCAAAGATTTAAACCTACTAATAAAAACATTTAGTTCAGGTGGAAATCAGACTCTAAGGCTCTGGCTATCAAATCCAGCATGCTTGTTTTCCCAGAAATTTGTATACTTAATCTTAAGCAAGCAGGCACCAGCCACCAGACGCACTGACTACAACATGCCACCTTTTTTCCCCCTTTCCTTTACACTGCTAACATCAAAGCTTCCACCACATATTATCTTGACGCTACCTAACATTCAAATGAAAAAATCTTGGGTGAGGGTCAGAGGTAAGAAGGCACTGCATCGGTGAGTGACAACCGAGATGCAGTGAGAACACTGATAAAGCATTACCAGCAAGCTACAA